AATGCTAAAAACTCCAAGACTGGACAATTGAGACCTGAACTGATTGATACAGGACTGTGGCCCTTTACCTGTCCCCATTCCTGGATCAGATCACAGACATGGTGACTGTGAACAATGGGGAGGCCCAGCTCCTGAGGGAAGACCCTTCAATGACAGCACAGGATGCCTCTCGAACCCTCCAGCCTTCCCTAAGTGATCTGCCACCATTTGCCAGGGCAACTGTGTATTGGGTTGCCCATGTCTTTCAAGGACTCTTGACACTGGACCTAGATTCTTGGGGACCCAAAACACCACTTTATCCACTGTCACTGGAAGGCTTCTGTGGGCCAGGTGATGAATGGATTTTTACCTGAGTCGGTCTCATGGTAGACCCACTGGGGCACTTACCCCATCCTGTTTTTTTTCCTTTATTTTCTCAGTTCAGAATATATTATCTCAGCAACTGGTAGAATCCCCAGCTGACTCCTTATCCATGGAATAAGGCTCTTTCCATAGAGAAGGACCAAGAGGGAGTCTCTGGGGTTCTCACAGCCATGGGGGCATTGGAGAAATTAATGCAACCATCAGCTGCTTCTCTCTTTGAGAGGGGCCCAGAGCAAGAGGAGTTTCCATTGTGAGTTCAGATCTCAATGCAAACAGCTCTACCCTGTGCCTTTTGTGACCAGGCCCACGCCATGATGATCAAGGTCTATGGCTGGTCAGGATTTGGTATGGAGCTGTTGGAAAGCACCAAGGGACACTCTCAGGGAGGACCACTTCTTTGTCTTATGACTATTCATGTTAGAGCTAGCTCTTGACTTTCTACTATTAGTCAAAGACTGAACATGAGAACACAGGACACCTGGTAGCACTGCAGCCCAAGTAGCCCGTCCTGATCTGGGTATGATCTGATCATGATCCAAGAAAGGCGTGTCCAGAACCACCACATCACCCATCGATTGGGTGGAAGCAGTACCTTTGGGACCAGGCCAAGCAGATCCTGAAGGCACAACCAAGTTGCAGGTGGCCCACAAGCCAACACTGGCTCCTGGTGCACTGCCACTGCTCGCTCAGTTCATACCTGTGACTTCATATAGAGCAGTTCCTGTGACCTGTTGACTGAGGGGGAAAAAAACTGGAGCCTGATTGACAGGTGACTGGCCCCACATAGCAATGGACTGTAGTAGCCTTAGAACAGCCCTCAGGGCCAGCCTGGAAAGACAGCAGAGAAGACACACCCTCTCAGGGACACTTCCAGCAGTATATGGTGGCCAGTCTTCCCGGGAGAAGAGATGGCCTGAGGGAAGCATCTCAGGTGATTCATAAGCAATGGTTAATGATTTGGCCAGATGGCCAGGGATGTGAAGGGACAAGATAGGAGAATTAGGGACAAGTTTAGGAGAAGGGATGGTGGGTGGACCCACACCCCCAAATCATAATAACCTTCTGTCTCCCTTCCACTCCTCCTCTGCCCTCCTAAGCAATCTTGCCAGCAGGTTAATCTAATTGTCATTTCCCCCAAAAAATCTCCATTCCTGTCACTTACAGGCTAAAGAAGAAGCCTTTGCAATACCAGCCTCTTGCCCATCTAGCTACCTCACCTCTTAAACATTTCCTTTTCTGATGCTCCAGGCTGATTCCAAGGGCATGGCCTTTCTTTCTCGGACTCCTGCACCTCCGCACACGTCTTCCCCTTTGCCCAGCACTCTGTCCTGGTCATTCTCCAGGGGTCAGCTCAGAGGCCGCCTTTACTGAAAAGTCTGCCCAGATGGTCCCAGGCAGATGCAGGCCAGCCAGCTACTGTAGTAGTCTCCAGAGATAGATTGCTTAGCCTTTGATCCTGGCTCAGTCACTTGCTAGTTGGGTGACCTTAGATACTTTTCTTAACCCCTCTGTGACTCAATTTCCTCACCTATAAAATAGGTAAGGTTGGTGTGAGGAGCAATTAATAGACAAGTATTAATAATCATAAAGTAATCATTAGGTTAGTAAATAATGAAACAGAAATATCCGAATAAATAATACATGGAGAGCTGGACAGCTCAGTGGCAGAGTACTTGCCTAGCATGTGTGAGGCCCTGGGTTCTCTCCCCAGCACTGGAAATAAATAAATATATAAATAAACAAATAAATAAATAATACATGAGCATAAATATACACACAGAAGTGGCCTGGCACAGGATGACTGTTTGCTGTGAGCTCGTTACTGCAATTTCCCACGGGGCCCTGGGACTTCATGCACAAACCCAGACAGACAGGGTGACAATGTGCTTTCCTCTGTCTTTGGTCCCTAGCAAGTACCTGGCCTATAGCAAGTTTTCAGTAAATATTGGTGGGATCAACAAATATGCCTGGAAGCAGAATCAGAGATCTGGCTCTATTGTGTGCTTAAAAAAAAAAAAACTCGAGCAAATCACACGAGGCTTAAAAGCCTCGGTTTCCTCATCTGCAAAATGAGCGTGAAGGCACAACCACTGAGTTAAGCCATGTGGAAGTGCCGTTTTTGTAGTCCAAATCAATTGAGTATCAGCAATTTCATGATTTAACATAACCCTTCCATCTCAGAGCCGAGGAACTTAATGAATGTGGGAGTGATTTATAAGCTGTAAGGGACTGTACAATGTCAGTATTGATTATTATCGATATGTGGTGGCAAGCTAGAGTTTATATATTTCAGCAGAAGGATCATTTCATTTAGTTCTGTTTGCGTAATAAATAGCAACCTGAAGAAGCACATTTAAATTTTAAATCCACATGGCAGGTGTCATTAAAGCTGTACTTGAATTTGGGACTGTCGATATAGACGCCGTGGATTTGGGTGCCCTGCAGAGTGCTAAAAGACAGAAAGACACATCAGAGTGTCAGAAAGACACATCAGCCTGCTTATCTGCCACAGAATGCATTTAGCATTCTGTGGCTCTTGGAACCCCCTTGGGGATTTTTCTGGCACTCTGGTTCCTCCAAGAGCGCACACGCTGTATTTGTTTCCACTCAGTACACCTCTCCCCGACTGCCAAGGTGACAGCCTCCCTGGAATTCCTGATGCAGAGGAGCTTTGCTGGAGAATGTCAATACACACCAGGCCCCATCTAGACGAACCCCTCCATCCCTAGGGGCTGTGGGGACAGAGATCTGCTCATGGACTCAGCTTCTCCCAGCAAGTGTCCTTCCTGCTGTCCTTTCCCAGTGCAGAGGGCTGGCCATGTGGGATAAGACATGGAGAGAGGGTCTGGCGTGCTGGCTGGCAGATGCTCAGGGCCAGTGTCCAGCAGAACTGACCAAGCTGGCCTCCCTACCCCCAACCCCCACTTGCTTCCGTTAAAAAAGATTCAATTGCTTAGACTTAGGGTCATATTCTCATGCACCATTAGAACTAGGATGGTCCTCAGTGATCACCCCATTTACAGCTGAGGAAACTGAGGCCAACTCAGAGTTATGAGGCTTGATTAGAAGCAGGCCTGTGGAATCCCAGATTTGTAGTCTTGGCCATGCAATACTAACAATGGACGATTAAACAGTATTAAACAATGGACTATCATTTATAATGATATGGGTGTATGGCATGGGACAGGCGTAGGTTCACCTAAATCTGCCTCTTACCAGCAGCACATGACCTCTCTGAGCCTCAGTTTCTTCCTTAGTGTGGTAGCACATCAAACATCACGCAAAACGTCCACTATATACCCAGTGCTTGTTAAACAAATTTGTATCATCTCACTGTAGAATAAAAAGTGGATTTTTTGGCAACCTGGTCAGGCAAGGGAGAGGGTGGGGAGTAGTGTACCCCAACATAGGTGATGCCATATTATTTTTATCCCACTTTTTTATAAGACTGGAGTTTTCTTTCCTCAATCCAATTACATTCAGGGAACATCTATTGAACGGTTATTATGCGCCAGAGTAGGTTAAATGTTGTGGGCCCAGCTGAGACACTGTCCTTTTGCTCTGAAGGTGGTCACCTGGGTTGGGAGACAGCTAAACAAGTAAGTGTGATGATGTCCTGTGTCAGGAGTGTGTGGGGGACAGGGGCTTTCCAGGCAGAAGGAACAATTTGAACGAGCACCTGGAGGCATGAAAATCAATCTGCAGAATGCATCAGGCAGGCCTAAGCCTGGCAGCTGACGATAGGAAACTCAAAATAGCAGGAGCTTAAGCAAGCTAGGGGTTTATTTCTCTCATGCATAAAAGAAGGGCAGAGCTGGGCAGCCAAGGTGTGATGGATGGTCCTCAGGCCTCAGGAACCCAGGCAATGCACAGTGGCTGGCTGCCTAGAGCACAGACTCAGTCACCCTACCTGGGCTTTCATTCTTTCTCAGACCCTGAGACCTCAGGGAAGATTATGTTTCCTCTGCTATGAAACAATGGTAATAAAAGTAACTGTGAAGATAGTGTAAGGATGAAATTATTTAATATAAGAAACATCTTTTGAACAGAACCAGGCATATGACAGTGTCATATATACTTTGGTCTCCTATCTTTAGCAAACGGTTTTCCTTCTCAAGGTCACCTCATGGTCCAGAATGGCTGCCAGAGTTCTACCTTCACATCTCAACTTTAGGCAACAGAAATAAGAAAGGCAAGGACAAAGTTCCCTCCCTCCATCTGAGTCAGTTTCCTCCAAACAGTTTTTGAGAATTCCCACATTTCACTATTGCTTATGTCACTGCCTGAATTTAGGCACAGGGCCTCATGTTGCAAGGAAGCATGGAATGAGTGTCCTTAACTATCACAGGTAGAGTGACAAATGTGTTCGGACAGGGGTGTGTTCAGTTCTGACTTCAGAGTGCACCTGTCTGGGGAAGGGCCAGCATGTAAACAGGTGACCATCTCTCCACATCTCTCAGTCCCGCATCACTTTTTTTTTTTTGCAGAGATGTGAAACCTACTCAAACATTTTCATCATTTTATGTGCAATTTATTGCTTTCAAAACGGACAGGCACCACTTTTCAGTAACTTTCTCACTTGCACCCCACCCTACCATAGACTCGGGGAAGATGGAACTCTGGAGAACAGTGCCCACCTGGGGAAGAGGGGTCCACACAGAGGTCAGGACTGAGCTCTGGCTGACTGGGTTCCTCACGGAATCCACCTCCCTCGGCACACTGCTTTGCTCAGACCAGGCTGGGGCCATGCTTTTTCTCTGTGAAGAGAGGACAGCTGATGGTAGAACAGCCACTCAGTGGAGACCCTTCCAGAAACCAGGCCTGCTGTGGCTGCTCGCCGGCTGTGTTCAGGGTCCCAGGGCCCTCCCTGTCCTTTGAGGCAAGGCGGTTGCTTGCTGATGCCAATGTCCCCGCTGACCTCTCCGCTGAGCCATGGGTGGCTTCAGAGTTTCGCTTAGCTCTTCTCAGGGAGCCAACATTTTTTTATCTTTGGGGTTTTGCTCCTGACCTGCCAGGTGTCGCTGCCTTTGCAGGGGACAAGAGACACACAGGTCAGTGAACTCCGAGGAGATGGGCTGGGTTATCTAGCCTGCGTATTCATAGACAGCACAATAATAAAAACATGCACAATGGAAACAAACCCAATCAGCCTAGTCTGCCCCTCAGGCATCCAAGAGAAGCACAGCCAGGCAGCTCTGACTCAGGCCTCTCAGGAGGGCACAGCGCAGGTGTCAGTCGGGCAGCAAGAGAAAGGGGGAGGCAGTGGCTGTCTCTAAGGACCCAACCTTGAGGTCACATGGCAGCCTTCTACCACATCCTCTCTTTAGAATTGAGGGACCAAGTCTGGCTCACCGTCGAGGGGAGGGGAATAGGCTCCCTTTCTGAAGAAGGGAGCAGTAAACAAGTTTGCAGAAATACTTAAAACCATAACATGGAAAGCCTGAGAAGGGAGTCCAGGAGTAGAATCGACAGGGACAGGAAAGACACTCACCCTTGGGCCTCCAGCAGTTTGACTCAGGGGTCTAGTGAGGCACAGGAAGTGACCAGGAGGACTCAGGGTCAGGAGGTCTGACCTCTCCACACCACATCTCTCTTCTGATGCACCCAGAAGCCGGCTTTTTGGAAAGATTTCAATGTGCCCTTAGGGTGCTAAGGGTCTCAGGTCCCTTTATCCTTTTAACAACCCCCTGAGGTAGGTATGGATTTTCCCTTTTAACTGACAAGGAGGCTGGTGTGGTGGCCCACTCCTGTCATCCCAGCGGCCGGAGGGCTGAGGCAGGAGGATCAAGAGTTCAAAGCCATGGGCTGGGGATGTGGCTCAAGCGATAGCACTCGCCTGGCATGCGCGGGGCGCTGGGTTCAGTCCTCAGCACCACATACAAATAAAATAAAGATGTGGTGTCCACCGAAAACTGAAAAATAAATATTAAAAAACTCTCTCTCCTCTCTCTCTCTCTCTTAAAAAAAAAAAGTTCAAAGCCAGCCTTAGCAAATTAGTGAGGCGCTAAGCAACTCAGTGAAACCCTGTCTCTAAGTAAAATATAAAAAGCAGCTGGGGAAGTGGCTCGGTGGTTAAGCACACCTGGGCTCAATACCCAGTAACAACAACAACAACAAAAAAACTAACAAGGAAACTGAGGCACAGGTATAGAGGCCATGCTGTACCAGTAGCCAAGGCTACTCCGCCATGAGCAGGCAGGGCTGATCCCAAGATTTTAATCCACTCTCACTGAGTCCCTGTCTGGCTTTCTCAGCAGTTTCTCATTTCCAGAATCCCAGAAACTGAAGCCAGAAACCAGCCCCCTCTGTTTACCCAGAATTCTTGTGTCACCAACACCCTGACTGAATGCCAGGGTGCTGGGCTCACGCAGAGGTCTCTAGTTTTGGCAGCAGCTGCAGTCAAGGTCAATGGCAGAGATGGCCCGATTGTCTCTTACTCGTCCTCCCAAATGCCACTGCCCAGCTCTCCACTCCCCACTCCTCCCATGGAGGAGGAAGTCCTTCTCACCCAGCCTGGTGCCCTCTAGTGTGGACACATGGCCTAGGCTCCAAACCCAGGACCCACTCAGCCTGGAGCCTGGGACACCTTCACACCTAAGCCAGTCTCTCAAAGGGCACACCTGGGGAAAAAAAAAAAAACAAAACTGGCAATTTGGAAAAGCTGGTGTTTGTGGACACCTGACAGGTTTCTCCATGAGAAGAAAGCTAACCTGATAAACTCTTCCTGGGAGCCAGAAACTTCTTGAGTCTCCATCCCTCAACAAGGTCATTTGTAGTCAGAAAGATGACTAAGAAATGGGGCAATTCCAAACCTAAAGAAAGAACTCCACTGCGTTGACATTTAGGCACTAACGTGACAGGCATTGGTACAGGTGTCCTTACATGTCTCTCTACTGGCAATCTCAGGGGCACTTAACCACTGAGCCACATCCCCAGCCCTTTTTTAAATTTATTTAGAGACAGGGTCTCACTGATTTGCTTAGGGCCTCACTAAGTTGCTGAGGCTGGCTTTGAACTTACCTTCCTCCTGCCTCGGCCTCAGGAGCCACTGGGATTATATGCATGTGCCACTGCACCCTGCCCACGACTTCTTAACCAAACCTGCAGCCCTAGGAAAAGAGTCTCTGATGCAGGGAGGGGCTAGAGGTAGGAGTCTCCCAGGGCCCCGCCCCTCCACACACCCCTCCTACCTCTGCTTGCCAACAGCCAGCAGTGCTTGGTCCAAACCCTGTTTGTGCCAGTGTAATCTTTTGTAATTACAGACTTTTAATTAAATAGTATTTAAACCAATGAAATATGATCAAAACTAAATAAGTCAAAGGCACCGTTTCTAGAAAATTTAGGTTGAATCCTTTGGAAAGAGTTTCTCAAGGCAATTTATTTAAAATAAAAAAGCTTTCTGTGTAGCTGTGGTTGAATTGTCTGTAAAAGATTAGTGGTTGGAAAACAGAATTATAAAATCGCAAGGACTCTGCATTCAGGTTGTTGCCTAGTGTTTTCAAGTCATTGGGTAAAATAGAAAGAAATCTTAGCCAATATCTTAGGGGTGTGATTTATGAAAGGCAGTTGAGGGGAAGAAAAGTGTATCTATACTTACAAGAAAGGTCACGGTCTTACATCAAAAATTAGCAAATGCCCATTTATAATTTCTAAGGGGATGTAGGTAATATTTCGTCTGACTCCTCACTTGAGTGGGGGCTTTGCCTACATAGGGGGCAGTGTACGCTTCCAGAGCCTAACAAGGAAAGAGGCCACTGCACACCCGAAGGCTAATTAGAAAATCAATCCACCTGGGCCTAATTGACAACACTAATCGTCTCTCTGAACCAAAGTGTCCTGGCTGCATTAGAATCACAGGAACCTCCGCAAGAGCTCAGGTCTCAAGACCTCCCCCGGGAAGCTGGGTGTGCTCAGCAGACCCCGACCTAATCAATACTTCCAATACTGTGACCCCTGACCTTACTCCAGTTAACAAATGCTTATGGCTCTAATAGACTCCACGCCCCTGTACTTCCTAATGGCTTTCCCTGCCAGGAACCAGGCCACCACCCCTGGACACCTTCTCCCACACCAGCCTTCTGCCTGCTCCTGGGCAGCGCTGTGCCTCTGGAACAAGACCCTGTGGCTAAGCCTGCTCACCTAAATCCATGCCACGCCCTCAGGCTGGCTCCTTCTGCCTGGTCACCCCTGGGACTGCTCCCTGCTACAGGACATGACTATTGGACACTATTTCTTCCCCTTTCAAGCTCTCACGCCGCCTCTGTCCTCTCAGTTTATCGGAAGGATAGAGGCCACCAGTTGTGCACACTCCTCTCTTTCCAAAAACTTTTCCTCTTCCATTCTTCTTCTTTGCCCTGTGCTCCTGTTACAATCGAGTGTCGGGGACTTGAGAGTCCCGAGGATTGTCTTGTCCTGCACACATTGCACTGTGCCTCGCACCCAGCAGCTTCCTCGTATTGATGAATGAATGGATGGAGCCTCCATCCTTTCCTGATAGGTTAGGTCGCTCCTTTTTTTTTTGTACCAGGGATTGAACCCAGGGATGCTTAACCACTGAGCCACATCCGTAACCCTTTTTTCTATTTTATTTAGAGACATGGTGTCGCTGAGTTGCTTAGGACTTTAATAAGTTGCTGAGGCTGGCTTTGACCTTGTCTCAGCCTTCTAAGCTGCTGGGACTACAGGCATGTACCACCTTGCCCGGCTGGTTAGGTCACTCTTAATTGCTTATAGACCTCTGGAAGGCAAGAGGAAGATCTCATTACATTGACTTAAATATCTGATAATAAAGAAGAATGAGTCATTGCTGTCTTCGTCATTCGTGGGTGCTGTATGCAGCTCATTTCCCCAGGCTTACCCCAATTTTATTCCCTATGACTTGCCTATGTGTGTGCCCCCCCCGTCCCCCAGCTGCCTGCAGAAGGTCATACTCTGCCTGTCTGTAGCCTCAGCATGTAGCAGCACACTGCTTGACACATTGGTGATAGGGCTCAGTCGAGCCATGATGAGTTGTTTAGTGTCCCAAATTTGCAAGTGACTCTGGATTCCTCCCTTCCCTGCTTCTTCCATGTCCAACCCACTAGCAGATCCTTTTAGTCTTTACCTCTAGAGCAGGGATAAGCCTACTTTTTCTATTAAAGGTCAGACGGTAAATAATGTAGGCATGTGGAACATGTGATCTCCACTGCAGCTACTCAAGACTCTACCATTATGTTCTGAAAGCAATATGAATGAGTGGGTGTGGCCGTGTCCCAATAAAATTTTATTTAAAAGCATGGGTGGACAGGATTTAGCCCGTTTTCAGACATCTGCTCTATAGTTTATCTCAAAACTTTTGTGAGCAAAAGAAAATAATGGGGATAAAAAGGGCCATCCTGGGTGCCCTTCATCCTCTTCCAGAAGTAAGATAGGAAAGGATATTGTAGACTTTGGTGGGCATGGGCGTGTATTTACTTAAGAAAGGAAACCGGCCAGCAGAGCTCTTTTTGTGGCCCTTGAATAGGTCTCTCACTTCGTTCTTGTATCCCAATGGGCTTGTATATTCTAGCACTGCTCATGGCCTGGAGATCTTTCCCAAGTTACTTCACCAGTAGGACTCTCTTCTCTCATTTACAAAGTTGGAGTAACACGGCTACTTTCCTCATGGAGTTGTCCTAAGGGTTCAATGTGATCAGGTTTCTAAAATACCCAGGGCCATCCTGGCCTAGAACATCCATGGCTGTCATCATTGTTGTTGATATTATGACAATCCATTGACATGTACCTCCACTTAGAAGCCTAGCAGAGCTCTGTGGTTACACACACGGTCCACCTGCTCTAGTTTGCCCAGACAGGGAACCTAGCATCGCTACTTACTAGTTGCATGAACTTGGGAAACTTTCTAACTCAGTTTGAGTTTTGGTTTGTCTGACTTGCAAAGTTTTATGAGGATTAAATGGATTATTACTTGTAATGTCCTTAAAGAGTGCCTGGGGAACTGTAAGCACGGAGGTAGTGTCTGCTATCATTGTTATCATCATCATCATCATCACCACCTGGAAAGGGTCCCTAAATCCCCTGGCCTTCAGCAGCCCTGGGTTCCAGCCTCAGAGCAAGTGGACCCTGGTTCCCATGACAGCTCTGACCCCAGCCCCTGCAGATCAGGGATTAAAGGTTTGCCTTTCCATTTTCCTTTCCATCCCCTAGCATCTGCTCCCTAATGCGTGCTTGAAGCCAGCAAGTAAGATAACCTTCTTCCCTGTGTTTTCCTCTCCCCTCATCCTGACCCCTGGGATATTTGTGTTCCTGGTATTTATTTAGCTCCCATAATCAGCCCGCTTGTGCTCTGGCGACAGAGTCACACCAGCTGAGGGGAACAGAATTCAGTCACCGGATCCCAAAAGAACACACTCACTACCACAGCTCCCAGCTGGCCAGTGAGTGGGGAGCATGGTGGGCAGCAGACTGGGGTGGCCCCTGTCCTGGACTCTCCCAGAATCTGCTGAGGTAGCTCACACTCTTAGCATTAAGCATCCAGAAAATGTCCCCTTTGCCCTTGTATATAGCAGAGAGCTCCACAGGATTCCTTTGTGACACTCTCACCACTCAGGGGGCTGAGCATCCTTTAAAGGTCCATAGATTGCTCTTCAGTTCACACGATTTCTAGAGACCAGGCCCCCAAGTGATCCATGTCTCCAGAATCGGTTAGGGGCTAGATGGTAGTTAACTCCTTTATCCAATAACGGAAAAAAAGGAATAGAATACTGGAAGCATTCCCTAATTTTCAATCTTAAAACACATACAGTATTTAATTAGCTAATGGCATGGAAAACTCTTCTTAGAAGTGATAAGATAACTCCTGTTAGAGGAGAGTTAAGAGAAAAAAAACCTCCATGATACCCATCAAACACTTTGTCATGAACAAAACTGTTACAAATTCCCTTTCTCAGAACATTGATGTGTTTATGTCTCCCCATCTCCAGGCAGCCTTCTTCTCAGGTCTAATACAGACTAGGAGAAGTTTCTGCTCAGGTCACTAATGTTAATTATCTCCTGCACACTCCTGCTCCAGCCTTCTTGGAGACGCCTCCATTTTCTACTTGCCCCAAGTAGCTCTGAACTTCTTCTTCTTCTTCTTTTTTTAATACCAGGGATTGAACTCAGGGGCACTCTATCACTGGGTCACATCCCCAGTCCTATTTTGTATTTTATTTAGAGACAGGGTCTCACTGAGTTGCTTAGTGCCTCACTTTTGCTGAGGCTGGCTTTGAACTCACAATCCTCCTGCCTCAGCCTCCCCAGCTGCTGGGATTACAGGTGTGCACCACCCCGTCTGGCTGGACTTCTTTTTAAAAGAGCTCCTCTTGCCAGCATCTCCCCTTGGCACTCTCTACCTCACTCACTCAGGCTGCCTCTTTTCAACATGAGAATTCTTCATTTTATTATCTGACTTCTGAGGGAATGGGGGCTTTCTTCCTTCTGAACAGTCATAAAACAAAACAGAACTTGAGTTAAGCAAGTGTCTTCCAACCCCAAAGAAGGAGCTATGCTTGGTAAAATTGAGGGCTGGGACTTCTGGCCAGCTGGGTGCACAGAGGAGACAAGAAAGAGCTCTAGCTGCACCCCTCACCCTCTCCAAGCACGTGGAACTGCTGGGTAAAATAGAATAAAGGAAACTTCAGAAACACAGCCAAGTCAAAGCCAAGAGAGAAGGCCTAATGCTCAGATTAACAAAGAGAAGGCTCAGAGTCAGGATGGCATTGTTGCTAGAGCCAAAACAGCTGTGGAATTATCAAATCCACGGGGGCTGGAATGCTGAGGAGTCTTGGTTGTGGGTCCCCTGAAGTGGAGTTGAGCTATCAGGAAGGTGGAGACCTTGAGACCTGCTGCACCCATGACATAAGAAAAACTCTTGTGGGAACTGACGAGGGAAGCTGGATGTCCGCTGTGGTCATGGTTAATCAAAGCATCACTATTGAGAAACTGGTATCCAAACCAATGGACAGACTCTGGTTCCTTGTTCCCACTATTCTCAGAGGCTCCAGCTGAGAAACTAATAAAAAAAAAATCTGTTGAAACCTATAGGACTCTGCAGATGCCTTGTAACAAGAAACACTTCCAGACTGTTC